ATTCGCGCAAATATACCAATACATATATACAAAATAAGCAAAACAACTCTTTTTGTTTTATGCGTTCGCTGTTATTTGGTTATGACAAACCTCAACCAGCTATTCAAAACTGCATACAAATATCCAAAATAGTAAATACCCAATATTTAGTTCCAATTCGATGTTTAGTGATTTGACTTTATCTTATCAATTATTTAGTGATAACCACAGCACTGATAAAGGGAAATGAGTGACATAAAAAAGGCTGAAAGAGATTTTGTATTAAGTCTCGCTGGAGCAGTTTGCCCTCTACAAGTGTTTCAAACGTTGTGATTACAGTTGAACTATGTAATGTAAAATAGATTGTGAGTGACCTTTATAGTAGACGATCAATCGGCTGCTTTATTATTACGTTTCTTGCTGTTCAAACGTTTTAACTGCTAACGTGGCTGTGCGTCAGCTTGAGTAGAAGTGTGACTTTAACGACATCAATGCGGCAACTAACAAGCCAGTCACGGCACAGTCGGTGCTAACATAAGTTTAACTCTCTTCTTTTAAAAGCATCCAGGTTTTCAAAGAAAGCTTTTTCCATCTTTTTGTGGTTAATGTGAAGCAGCACAACAATGCCGGGCTTAGCTAGCTGGGTTATAATTGTTGTATTTTTATAACGTTGATTATTTTGTTCCTTTTAAGTAGTGCGTGATTGCTGTATATGAGTATGTATGTTTATGAGTATAAATATTATAGCTCTGATTACTGATTTGTTTACCACATAGAGTATATTTTCTTTTTAGTTCATTGTACTGCTTCCAAGAGACGGCGACACAGTTATGCACATACATACCATACTATATGAAGGCATATGCACTTTTGCAAGTGTAATGAAATACTTTCTTGCAAATGCAAAGGCTCTCAAATGAGTTTTTAAATAAGTTGCTATTAGAGCATCAGCGACGCAGGAAATAGTGTTGCTGAAAATAAGCAAAAAATATACTGTGAATTTCTTATTTGCATTCCTACATTCTTACAAGTGCAGGTGATGATTATTTTAGATGATGTAATAAAGTTTCACTTATATGAGTCATTTGTAATTATAAATACGACGCCAAGGTAAACAAGGTGTTAAAAAAATGGTTTAAATGTAAAAGTAAAATCTTGCCGACCATATACCAGTCCATAAATAAAAAGTCATCAACGCTATAAAAAACTCAGCAGTATTATGAAAATTCGGTAAAAATTGCTTTTATGAAATATTTGCACATACCTATGTAAGTGCATAGAAAAAAAAAAACGTATTTAGTTGCTGTTAGCTGTTAATTCCATGATGTCGGCGCTTAATTAAGATTAGTATTTAGGAAAATAATAGAAAATTTTTTAAATAAATACTTATACATACATACATATGTATGTATATAAATACGTAAATACTTACCATTACCTAGAAACGTGCAAAATACGACCATGCAAATATTTGAATTTTAGTATTCATTAAAACGCTTCGTCAACCCCGTCTTCGTCAGCACGAATAAATAGTGATTTTCCTCGTGTGCCTCTTTTGGCAAATGAAATGTATAAATCTCATCGATGTCTTTGCCCGATTGCAACTCGTACCAGTATTTAACTAAACTATTGTCCATGCAACGCACCTCAATCAAGCACAACGGATGATTGTCTCCTGCGGATATGACACAATTATTAACCGCATCATACGTTATCTCCGCATCGCACGCTCTCTCTTCATCAGCGCTTCCATTGTGAATTCTGAACCATTTATGGTGCGCTAAAATTACTGCACAATTGCGGGTAAAATAAAAAGAATCGCTTGTTTTTTGTTCGTGGTATTTGTCGAGAAAAGAATTTGTCGTGCGCTTGAGTTGTGTAAAACGGGGACGAGTTGCTACTTGAGCGATCACTTTTGGCGCCACGTGCTGTATGATTCTATCTGGCAGATGTTCCGTCAGATTATCTAAGGTAAAAACTCGATTTACATAATCAAAGCCATTGCCCATCACACCATCTTTGGTGTGCCCCAGATCAAAGGTGTGTCCGATTTCATGCACTACAGCGCCTAAAGTAGTGGCATAAACTCCGCCGTATGTACGTCGATAGTTGCTGTCATCGGGCAATTCCGTTAGATCTACTTCTTTGGTACTTCCAAAGCAAGTTTGTATTGCATTACAAGTCTGCGGCCATGCAAATAAATAGGCTGCGCCAAAAAGTGCCAGGCCCCCACCTCCCAGGGCTGCGTGTCCCCTTAAATGAAGGCGTATATTTGCATATGAAAAGTCGCCTGAGGCAGCTACTGCCGCACCGTCATATCTAGTACAACTAATGAATGCCACAAATTTCAGTTTGGAATCTTCACCCCAATTGCTGGAGTTAAGTAGCTCTTGTGCGAAATTTTGCCACAAGTCTTTCTCGTTCTGCTGCCAAACTTCTTCGCACGTTAAATTCGACTCAAATACTTGGCAATCGCCGTTTATCGTAAAGGTACGCCTGCCAAAACCCGCTGTTCTTAGCTGTTCGGCATAGATACATTGAACCAAACGTAAATTCAAATTTATTTTCTCACAATTTTCATGAACAAGCTCCACGGGCACACTTTGTTTAGAACATGTAATATACAATGGTTGCAAACGATAATTTTTATTGCTAGTATCGGCAGCTTTATATAAAATCTCCAATTGATGCAAAGTATTGCAGAAGCTAAAATCTAATTGCAATTGAATCTCCTCTGCTAGTGACACATGTTGACCCAGATCACATAACAATTTGAACTGGCCGTTTCTTGATATTGGGGTATGCTGTTGCAATACCCCTGCACTATCTGCATGCACCAATTGCTGTCTTAACCGCAATACAAGTTGCTCCTCCACACACTTTTTTGTTGTATTGTTGGGCAATGGAAATCGTGGCTGACGGATGTGCCCCTTAATAAGAAGTATTGTATGGTTAATGATTTCTCCGTTGTCTAGATTATCCACTTCTATTCTATGCTCGCATATACACCTATTCATTGCCCTTTTAATTGAGACCCATTTAAGTGCTATTGCACCTGAAATTTTTCTGATAAGAAACAGCAAGTACTAGTTAAAATCAGCTGTGATTGCAATGAAAAGAGAAAGGCAATCAGCTGTTTTATGTTGTAGTTACATCGGCACTGTTGCCAACCTCATACTTTTCGTACTAATGGGTCGATTATCGATAGCAAGCAAACTTCAGTTGCGTTGATAGTTGCCAAAACGGTATTACAGATGGCAACTGGCAACTGTCAACTGACAACTGCAGCTGCTACAAAGTGTGTATACAGGCGACTACATTCTTGTGGTTGCTGGGAAGGAGCGAAAATTGAAAAGTTTTTTATATCTTTTACTTTTTAATAATTTGAACGATATTAACATTTTGCAATGCAGTTTGCTTTTACGGAATATGGTGAAAATAACAAAACCATAACTTGAAATTTTAGTTCCCGTGGAGTACGCCCTTTTGGCGCAACAAAAGCGAACACTGATTGCAAATTTTTTTCCGTTATCAACTAAAGCACTTCTTTTAAAACTACCCACACATCAAGTTTTCCAAATTGAAAAATCGAAAAGGTCCGCAAGCTTTTTGTGAGCGGAGGTATTGAAGTTGAACAAAGTGGTTCTCTGTTTATTAACGAATTATACTACAACTTCTTTTGGAAGTCCTCAATATGCTTTGAAAATGAACACAAAACGTTAATAAAACAAAAACCTTGAAAGCATTGCTTACAGTGCACGCGGTAGCTCCAGAGGATTGAAATTATCCTTAAATGTCGCCAGATTGAGGCCGCGTTCATGCACTTCTATTCCTCTTAAACAAAAAATTTTGATGAACTGAGCTTTATTTTTAAAAGTCTTTTGTTTAATAATTTAATTTTACTCGCACAGCTTCTTTACAGCCACTTGCTGGTTGTTGAACTGCCAAATTTCGATTATCGATAACTCTACAGCAACTGACGACAGTTGCCATTTGTAATACAAATTTTCTTTCCAGTTGCGTTCCCATCTGGCAACCGAACCGTGGTTGCGTTGCTATCCGTAATCGACCTATAAATTTGGTGTTTTTCTTTCTTCAAAATGCGAAAATTTTTGAGTTTGCTGCCTGATGTTTTTTTTTTAGTTTGAAGACCAAGGAAAGATTTATTCATCTTAAAAAAATGGAAGCTAAATTTATAGCTTTGTAAGCAACTTTACAAAAATGGAAACCAAATCATTCCAATGGCAACCACAAGTAAAAAGACTCCATTATTTTTAGTACTAACACTTCAAAATTTTTGCTTAGGGCGATTTTACGCAGACGATCATATATATGACTGGGTTATAAATTGTTGTGGGCGATGTCTGTGTACCTGTCTCGCATGTTTTGGTTGCGGCTACTACGGCTGCGTCTGGGGTGAGCGGCTTGGAAAGAGCACTCGATGGTCGCATACCTACTTCTATTTTGCATGCATTTGTTGTGGCTACTACAGCTACGTCTGGGCTGAGCGGCTTGGAAAGAGCACTCGATGGTCGCATACCTGCTTCTATTTTGCATGGATTTTTTGCGGCTACTACGGCTGCGTCTGTCTGCGGCTTCAAAACTGTTGCACTAGAAGTTGGCAAGTCACCTAAAATATGTATCGCTCTTTGTTTTTCCTCTTCCAGTCTCTTCAACTGCTGCTGAGCGGTTGTGTATATACATGGAATGGCGCCGGGCTGCAAACGTCTTCTGGTTTGTAGCCCTTTGTAAGAAAATATGTACATGTGTATGTATTATAACAAAAATGTTGAAACTAAAAATAGTGGACAATTCTTACCCAATTCAAAAGCTAACTTCCCTATAATGTGTTCCTCTTTAAAATGGTCCATACAAATTCTCCACGTTTTTGGTTTAAAATCTTTAGATCGCCGGCAAAACTTCAACCATTTTTCTTGCTGTTTAGGATCCTTCGGGAAACGGAAAAAAGCTCTTCTTTCAGACGGGTCCCTGCGTTGGCTTACACAATTCCACACCGCACACTGCATTACAATTTTTATTCTATGTCAATTTATTTCATTTGATGAGCGTATTTTTGTATTGCGTATTTTAATTTATTCCATTTGGGTATATGTTAATACATCCTATCAAAATCTGTCAAAACGCAGTTTCGGAAAAAGTGTTGGTAGGGTAGGGCAGTCACCCAGCAAACATTTGGAGTCATAAATGAGTCTTTAAGGAGTCCCATTTCGGAGCCTTTGTGCTCATAATGAGCTCATTTAAGAGTCCGAAATGAGGGTGTTTCCCTTCCTGCGAAGGTCGACCTATATGAGCTTAAATTCATACATCAAATGGGCCTCAATATGAGTCATATTGGACTCTTATTGGCCTCATATACGGCTCATTTTCGACTCCTTTTGAAGCTCTTAAATTACTCTTATTGGCCTCATAAATGCCTACTTTCGGAGTGTCATTGTATGCTGTTATGTGACTTTTATTGGCTTTATTCTTCAACTCTCTTAATGAACTTACTTTAGAGCCATGTTAGCAAGGAATTCATTTCAAATACTGTTGCATATTTATATACAAACCTCTGCGCATACATATATATGTACATATATTGCAGCATTCATGTAATAGCAGTTGCTGCAGCTAAATTTTGTTTATTTTTCCTTCCTAATTATTTTTCATATCTGTATAAACAAGTTTAGATATAAATTTCTAGTCGTTATTGTTTTTATACTGGCACAAAGTGCTGGCTCATAACTTGGATCATATATGACTCCTAAAAGATTCATATAAGAGTAAAAAAATGTTTGTTTTTGAAACTCATATTTCTTACTTACCTAGGACTCCTTTCCGACTCATATATTCTGAGCGCTCAGAATATGTTTGCGGGGATGTGGCAAAAATACATCGATGTTTTTCCTCGCATCGATACATCGAAACTTACATCGTTATTTGTCGAAGCATCGGAGGGCGTACATCGATGCATCGATGTGCATAGGGTTTTCCTCCACTATGGAAATAAAACATTGAGAACCTTTTTGGTATGTGGTTTTATAGCTCATAAAATTTTACTATAACAAAGTGCAAGTCAGCCAAAGAAAAAATATTAAAAATTAAAGCAATCAAAACCAGCACTTTACTATACTAACATTTTATGAGCTATAAAACCACATACCAAAAAGGTTCTCAATGTTTTATTTCCATAGTGGAGGAAAACCCTATGCACATCGATGCATCGATGTGCATAGGGTTTTCCTCCACTATGGAAATAAAACATTGAGAACCTTTTTGGTATGTGGTTTTATAGCTCATAAAATTTTACTATAACAAAGTGCAAGTCAGCCAAAGAAAAAATATTAAAAATTAAAGCAATCAAAACCAGCACTTTACTATACTAACATTTTATGAGCTATAAAACTGCATCTTCCTCTCTATGAACTTCAGACAAAGCGATGTTTGGCCGTTCGATGTACTTGAGAAGTCAGTCTAGAGAAAACATCGATGCATCGACAATTTATACATCGAGTGGAAAATTGTCGATGCATCGAAGCAAAACATCGATATTTTCGATGCATCGATGTTTTTTCGGCATCCCTTTGTGAATTAAGGTAACGGTATGTAGAATTTGTCAATTTGTCGCTGAAAGTACAAAACCGCGTATCGTAATTCTGCAAAACCACGTAACTGACATTTTTTGCCAAAAATTTGATTTGCTTACACAAGCTCTTGGCTCAATCCTTATCCAATCGTCCTGAAATATACTAGGAGGAAATGCGATTGCTTTATTAATAAGAGCGCCATTTTGAAATATGAGTGTTTTTGCTATCTAGAAAATTTATGCAACCTCACATACGCAGTTTTGCATTTTGTTGATAATAGGAGCGTTCCTTATCTCCCAGAAATAGTCAGAAAAAGTCCGAAGTAGTCAGATTTAGTCCAAAAAGCGTTCCTTAACTCGGAAATGACAGCAAAAATGAGAGAGCAACAGTCAGTGAGAGTGACTCTCATCAGTCCGAAGTAGTCAGATTTAGTCAGAAGAATTTTTTCTGGCAAAATCCTGAAAAGTGTCAAACTCAACTGAATTTAAATTAACGGAAATTAAAGAATACGCTAAAAGTGAGAATAATCTAAAAAGTAAAAGAAATGAATTGAAATTGGAAGGAGGCAAAAAATAATTGATATAGCAAGTGTTTATTGTGCTTGTGCTTGTGTGAATGTGTTTTGTACATACATTTCTGTTCTTATTTGACGTTAGTTTTGTTGTTGCCATTCTTTGGACTAAAAATTTGGTTTTTTGCGTTCCTTTACTTTTCCTGTTATTCTCTTTTAGTGAGCGCATTTTGCTTACGCTCTGGCATTTTGACACTTTTCAGATTTTAGTCCAAAAAGATAAGGAATGAACCTAATGTGAGAGCTTTTCGCATGAAATTTGAAGCGCCTGAAATGTGTATATGGCACACCGTCTTCAAAAGTCACAACTAAAAATTTAGTACTTTTGAAATTATGCGCAAAAAATGTACACAGAGCTTTTATTTACCTTTCAGGAAAAGCTGGAACAAATTTTTGTTATGTTTTAAAAAAATCTTTTCTACGGAAAATCCTACCTTCTTATTGTCCTCCAGAGCTGGGTAAATGCAATTACATTACAATTACAATTACATTCCTCAGTAATTGTAATTAGGATTCAATTCCTTTAGTTCACTGCAAAGGAATCGATTACTTTTTCAATTCCTTGAAGTAATTTCAAATGGAATTGTTTTTTTCTTTAATTCCATTACAAGGAATTTCATATTGTAATTGGAATAAATTACGTGCTAGTAATGTAATTTCTTTTATTTCAATTCCTTTGACAGGAATTGAAAATGTAATTTTTTTTCCAATTCCTTTGAAAGGAATTGAAAATGTAATTGATTTTTTTTCCAATTCCATTCCTCAAAGTAATTTAAAAAGTAATCGAAAAATTTATAAAAAAAAAATTGTTTACTGTTGAATTGCAATAGCTTTGTTAAATTTCCTGCTAGTATTTCATACAAAAAATTATTGCACTTTCACTTAACCCTTGCAAACTTGTTTATTTATCCATCGATAGTAGTGTTTATTTATTCATCGGTAGTAGTGTTTTAACCCGCAAAACAAGCAGAGTTTGGCTAGTCTATACTAATATATATTTTGAAAGGCGTGTTTTTCTGTTCGCAAAGCTCGAGAAAGGCCGTACCGATTTTTTTGAAATTTCGGAATCTACTTAGGCTTTCCAAGGATGGTTATAGCTAAAAAAAGTTTCGATATAGAAAGGGGGCGTGGCACCTCCCATACAAACCGAATTTTTCAAACTGCATATATTTGTGGTAGAGGACTAGAACTGGGTATGGTGATATCTATATACATATATAAGACCAATTCCATACTCATGGAGAAAAATTTGCATGGTTGGAGAATAGCGTGTGGCACCTCCCATATAAACCGAACTTTTCATATTGCATATTTCTGGAAGTGTTCATGGTAGACTGTAAGCCTTTTTAAAACTCTTTAGTTTGACACCCACATGCCAACATTGCATTTACTTTATCAATTTAACTGAGTTACAATTTCCAAATAGGTGGCAGCCCCCTCAAAAATATTTCCAACAGTTATCTTTCTCAAACCTTTTTAATTTGATACCCATATTGTAATATTTTATTTATTTTATCAATGTAATTTAGTTAAATTTTCAAACAGATGGCAACCCTCCTCAAACATATTTTCGGCAGTAAGCCTTCTTAAAACTCTTTAGTTTGACACCCAAATGGCAATATTTAATTTTTTTTAACAATTTGACTGAGTTTAAATTTTCAAATAGGAGGCCACCCTCGTCAAAAATACTTCCGGCAGTTATCATTCTTAAACCTCTTTAACTTAATACCCATATTGTAATAATTCATTGATTTTAAATTAATTAAATTTTAAAATAGGTG